ATAGCCCTCTATTTACCCCATGAAGTTTGATATTTTTATGTGAAGGTAAGTGACTGAGTGTTTAAGAGTTCTTTGAATGTTTGAAAGGCCTTTAATATTTAAATGTAACCTTGCAAGTTCATTTGAAATATTTGCGGCCGATTTCTCAATGCGCTCGAATTTTGTATGCGCGAATGCTCTGAATTCGACATCAAACGAATTCTTTTGTTTTTCCATGAATGAGGAAACATGTTTATTTCATTTGACGTGTGAATAGGAGCTGTTGGCATTCTTCATCGTTAAAGTACTTCGAAAAAAGGACAAAACCAACGTTACCTTGTTTTGATAATATCATAAAACGAAGAGGATCAAGCTTTTTTGCAAGTAAGAGGGATTACCCTTGCATTGAAGAGTAGACCATAGAAAGGTGGAGTTATCGCATCTCTGCAAATGTAATGTAAGAGAACGAGAACCCATCAGCTCATTATACTGACCTCAAGATCAAGAATACAGCATACATTAGCCGAATAAAAAAATTCGTGTTCTTTTACAGTCCAATATCTTACAGAAATGGTTTCTTTATAGGAAGATTGAATAAACTTACTTAAATATGGATATGTTACTGTAAAAGCTCGAATTGCAGTAAATCCTAAGATATTCCAGTAAAACCTAAGATCTACCAATTCCTAATGGTAAATGTCCCAAAAGGTTTGCGATTCGAACTCTTACCACCATTTCGTTGGTAAATCTTAGGATTTACATTAATGGCACGGTAAATGTTGAAAAACAAAACAAGCATTTTTGACAGGTAACAATCGGTCTTATACAGTGTGAGTCACGTTAAAGTGTACATATGAAAACAGATGAAACTAGACCTATTTTTATCGACAAAAAAGAGGTCAAAAATTTTTTGAGATTTTTTTTTAATTTTTTATAGAATTTTTTTTCTTCCAATTACTTATTCTAAAGAAAACGTAATAACTTTTAAACTAAGAGGTATATCCTGATAAAATAAAAACAGTAATAATGCTAAATAACAGGCGATTCTAAAAAATATATATAAAATACACAAAAAAGGCCAACAAATAATAAAAAATGATACTTTTTGAAAAAAATCTCCTTTTAAATTCGTTTTTTTTTGGTTATTTGATAAATTTCTCCAAAAAATGCCCCTATAACAGGTAGTTTTTATTACTTTGTATTATTCTCTATCGTATTATCTTTGTATAACCAAAAATCGCATGTCTCTATCCCTATCACAACATTTGCTATGATCGTTTGAACAAAGGCCTGCCACAACACTATTCTCCGCTACAGGTAAAGACAATTTTAATTTTAACTAAAATGCTTATTTTACTTCGAAATCTTTTGTTTTTATTTAAAATCTAACTTGTTTTTATCAAAATTACAAATCTAGAGCCATTTTCAGTTTCGTTGTTAACGAAGCGTTGAATGGCGCGCCCGGAGAGGCTTAGTTCAAACGATCATTGCAAACGTTGTGATAGGGATAGAGACATGCGATTTTTGGTTTTACAAAGGTAATACGATAGAGAATAATACAAAGTAATAAAAACCACCGATTATAGGGGCATTTTTTGGAGAAATTTATCAAATAACCAAAAAAACACGAATTTAAAAGCAGATTTTTTTCAAAAAGTATCATTTTTTATTATTTGTTGGCTTTTTTTGTGTATTTTATGTATGTTTTTAGTATCGCCTGTTATTTAGCATTATTACTGTTTTTATTTTATCAGGATATACCTCTTAGTTTCAAAGTTATTACGTTTTCTTTACAATAAGTAATTGGAAGAAAAAAAATTCTATAAAAAATTTAAAAAAAATCTCAAAAATTTTTTGACCTATTTTTTGTCGATAAAAANTCGCCAATAGGTCTAGTTTCATCTATTTTCATATGTACACTTTAACGTGACTCACACTGTATACGCATTACATGAGCGCAGCCTTTTTGTATTATTTAAATGTACGAACAATTTAAGAACTAAAAAGAAAGACCACGGCATCACTTTTCATTTTAATACAATTAAACAAACAATGATGTCACTGCCTTGTTTTTTCTTTAGCAACGTAAGATCATGTCATATAAAATACTAGCTTTTGCCCGCGGATTCACCCGCGTGAAATTTAATTTGTCACATATCGCCATAAATTATAGCGTATACCTATGTTATTCTGGGTTATGAACAATAATACTGTAAAGTTTCATCAAAATCAGTTCAGTAGTTTTCGCTTGAAAGAGTAAAAAACATCCACACAAACTTTCGCGTTTATAATATTAGTAGGATGCATGCAATACAAAATTTCAGTGTCCTAGATAGGCTAGATATGATATTTACAGGTATGCGCTACTTTTTTTTCACTACTACGATTTTTTCCATTTCACATTTCGTCCATGCCATGGACGAATTAAAATTAAAATCTTACTAATTAAAAGTTCTGTAAACTTTTACGAAAAAAACATCGTTGGTAATGAGTCAGAAGGAATAAAAAAGGAAACAGTAAAAATGTGAACACCAAAACACAAGAAAAAGAAATGATTGCAAATAATTTAAATAAGTTGGTATTAGTTTGTACTTATTATTATCATATGATACCTTTATAATACTATGTACCTGTTTTGTCTAATAGTTGATGAAAGTAAGTAATTAAGAATTACTCATTGTTTTATTTCTAAAACCAACATCTACCAGCTGACAGAGGTAAAACCTAGTAATACTGAATTCAAATGGTAAAAGCTCGAAAAAATCGTCGTATTTTCAGAAATACTTACATTTACCAACTCATGTCGGTAAATCCTAAGACTTACACTTAAATCTTAAGATTAACCGTAGTTCGAGCTTTTACAGTAACAGATACATCAACAAAACCTTTGACCTACAATCTCCTTATTGCTTAGTTTAACACTGCGTAGTTACCTATGTTCCGTATCAATAGCCATAACCATGACCACACGGTAATTACCGAGGCTCCTTACCGTGCTACGGTTACCAGTAGGAAGCGGGCATTACTGATTCACTGTGACCGAGCCAGCCTCATTATGCGCCTGCGCCGATAACAGGTGCGTGCGAACAAAGATCTAGAATGTTTTGAATGAAATGCACAAGAAACACCCATTAAAGGCCCAAGTGCTTAAGTGGTTAAAGAATTGATTCTTTGGATTAAAAAGTCCTGGGGCGGTTCCCAGATGAGACAACACATATTGACAGCAGCGTGTGTAGGTAACTTAGATAATTCTAATAACGCTGACGAAATGCGTTTTGGCGATTCAATAGGGTAACTTTCACAATCGTCTACTAACTACGATCTTCACTGCAACCAGAAAAAACAGGCAAAAAAGCTATTTTATGTGTTTACTTCATAATATATTTTGATATAACTGTCTTGAGTACGTACCTATTATAATTTGAGACCATTATGAGAGACATGTTTGACAATTTTAGGAGACGAAGCGTAGGTACTCAACACAAAATTGTGATGGTTTAAACTTTACTTTCTTAAATAATAATATAAATCCTATCCTAAATAACAGGATAATTAAATAGATCATCCAGCTATCTAAATCTTCGTGGTGCTATCGCTTAGGTGTAATGAAGGCTAATGGCCGCGGGCTGTGATTTTTGAAGCCCCGCCGTTAATCAGAGCTTGATACTTAGCTGTACTTCCATGACCATGGATCATAGAACACCTACCATAAAGTTTCTCACAAGTACTCAATGATGCATGCATTCTGGTTGGTTAATTCGTCCAAGATTCATTCCGATTCACTGTATCCCTAAAAAACGGTTTAGAAGAATAATAACGGTCCTTCCAACAAGTTCATTTTTCAGCTATGTCCGGGGGGCCATTTTTCTACTCCTTTAGCGTTTTTTAATTCGTATAACCGCTTACCTATTTAAGTAAAAATAACCTTAAAAAAAATTGCCTAAGGCGCGAATCGAATCCACGTCCTTTCGCTTGCCGGTCAATGCTCTTCGATTGATTATTAATCAATTTATTTTTTTACAGTTTCCTTTCTTCCCAACTTTGGTACCTACCTACTGCATACGTCAACGTCAATAGCACCTACCTATCTCAATGTGAACTAAGGACGATTGCGCCCACCTCAAAAGCGCATAGAATGCCCCATTGATCCTAATACACCAACAATCGCCCATATCGATGCAGAGCTCGTGGCGTCTGCAGCCGATAATGAGCCCCAATGTGTGGTAATAAGTTTGTTAAATCTGCGCACGATTGCGATCATTTTGGAGCGACCACCGGCGGGCGCCATTAGCATCGTAATTTGTTGTAAATAAAGTGATGACCGGCATCGCAAATAGAGCATTATTGTTTTGAGAGGTCAAATTATTTGTAATATGGTACCTAAGTACTTAAATAATTTAAAGTGAGACTTACATGAATGATGTATCTTCATTTCTTGTTGATTTTCGAAGCCTCCACCAAAATTTTCTCGTGTTCTTCTTGGAAAACCTTAAAAAGAATAAATATAACTTTAAATAATTGCGTAAACTCACAGAATCACTTAATCATTTACATCTCACAGCAAAATTTAAATATTAGATAAAATATTTAATCTTGAATGGAGATGCCTACTACCTACTTAGAAAGAAAGAAAGAAACATACTTTCGTTTACACTTTAATAATTAGCTTCATATTGATATAGATGAAATCAATATCAAAAAAAATATTCTATCACACTCAATTTTAAAAGTTCTCCAATGAGCTTTTTGCTTAACCTTCATAAATGCAACTTGCAGCGACATCTATCGTTGAGTAGCTGCACTATCCAAAGTGATGAAATAACAACCGCTAGATGTCACTAGTGACTACTGACATTGAATTTTTTATATTTTTCATAACGAAACATTAATTACACAATAATTAAATAAATCAAAACATTAATCATTTTAATAATGTAATTGGCTTTATTTTTAGTTAGTACCTGTTTAATGATTTTTCGCATGCTAGCACCAAACGCCGCTACTGTCATTAGTGTCAGTTTGACACAAACGAAACGAGCCTTTCCTTTTTGACGTGCTGTGTAAAACAAAAACACGCACGTGTAGAAAATGCGTATTGAAACTTGTTATTTCTGCTCGTCCAGGATATATCCTGGACATGGCATTCAATTCGTGAGAAACGATTGCAAGGTAAGTTCTAAATAAACATTGTTTCGCTCATCTTTTTGCTATTTCATAACCTTGCGTAGCACTAACCAAAGTGCCTGTAGATTTTCAGATTCTGCCGTTCAAAATGCCATGCGGCGTTCAAAAAGAAGAAGAACCCGCGTAAAACCAAATGGACTAAAGCCTACCGTAAGACAGCGGGCAAAGAGTTGGCTATTGACCCGTCCTTTGAATTCGAGAAGCGTCGCCATGCTCCAGTGAAATATAACAGGGAATTATGGACGAAGACCATCGAGGCAATGAAGAAGGTGGAGGAGATTAGGCAGAGGAGGTCGAACAACTACATTATGCAGAGATTGAGGAAGGGACGTGAAGTGGAGTGGCAGAGAGACGTCAGAGAAGTCCAGAGGGATATTTCACTTATCAGGTATGGATATCTTATTTATTATGATGCAAATAATTGCTAAATCATGAGAAGCGTCATTTAGGCATATTCAAAGAACACCAAATAACTAGATGCACTATAAATTTATCACTTTCTAGATATAATTGGGTATACTTCTTCTGTATCTTCTGTTTACAGAAGCTTTAGCGAAAGGTCACTGATTGACTGACACAATCAATTACAAGTGCTAGAAGTCTCAAATTTTGCATGGGGGTCCTTTTAGAACGTAGGTGCTCATTAAGAACGGATTTTACAAAACTCCATCCCTAAGGGGGTAAAACGGGATCCACACGTATGAAGTCTTGGGCAGCCGCTAGTTATTCATAAAATTATTGTGCAATATAATATCACACAATCAATACAAGTGAAAATAAATTACAGTTTAACGTTAATTACAATGTGTCTTTAATTTCAGATCACCAGCAGCAGGTCTCAAACAAAGACAGGCCCTAGAAGACACTGAGATGGAAGTGGAGCCAGAAACAATTGAAGTCGTTGATGCTAAGGGCCGCAAGAAAATTATCGAGGCACCTGTCATGGTGCCCGCTACTGGAGAAATGATCGAAGATGGTGGAGATATTGAGTTATAAGCATCAGTGTTTGAATAACATAGACAATGAACACCAAATAGTAGCCATAATACCTGGTTCTATGTGAAAATCAACAAGTTTCAAGTTATTACGCTTTTATGAAGAACACTTTTCAAAAATGGGAGTCATCATTTTTGTTACCTACTGTAGTCATTCAGTAATTCACTAAAATAAATTATTTTAAGCCAAAATAAAGTTGTTTGATTTATTATGATAAGCAAGTAATCCGTATTGAAATTATTTCCAAAGAAGTATCCTTAGAGACACATACACTTTTTAGAACCTAAGATTATACAACTTGAGGATTCTGCTATCTTGTCAAAAACAAATCCATAAGTGCTGAGGTTTTTTGATAATTTTATTTCGTGTCTAACTGGCTTACCATTCTACCTTTGCTTGCCATCAAGTAATAGAGTGATATCATTACAACAACGTTCTAATTATCTCAAGGCTTCCACTAGTGCATACTTAGTATTATTATGGATAGAGTCATTATAAAAGTATTGATTTACGGCGTACCGGTAACCTACGGTAATCCTCTTAAGCTGTCGGGCATGTGTAGTAAACATTTTTGTTCAGTCGCAGATATGAGTAAGTTCATAATTTTTATTTCGGTAATCACAGTAGGTATTGCGGTACCTATGTTTAAACACGGCCGCGACGGCTCTTAAGTTTCATCAATATCCTTCATCCTTAAAAATCTTTTGTGTGGATAATGTGGAAGAGTTGGGAAAGTGCGAGCACAAAAGTAACAATATTCGGTAAGATCCCTCAAATTGGTTCAAGAAAACCTACAGTAGTTACAATAATGACGGTAGGAAGTAAAAGTAGGGACTTGTTTTAGTACCTACGCTTTTACTACATTGTGAACCAAGTTGCAAAGGTTGCGCGCTTCTATTTAATTCAATTAGCGGTGGTACAGTTTAGTAACAATACAAAAATCACTTTTTATCCTTCTACCAACGAGACATCTAGTTTATATTTCTTTTTGTGCACTTTTACTCAGTTTTTCTTCTTGTGACTATGGGTGTTTACTCTTATCTTCTTGGTGTTATTGTGGCTTTTATTTCCTATCTTATGTATCAGCGGTATGCTCACGAGTATAGCAGCATAATACAGAAGCCTGAGAAACGCTACGATTACATAATCGGTAAGTAATGTTGCTTTTTATCGTATACGCCTGATGAAATTTTTATTGCAATTTCACGTGATGATGAAATTACAATAATGACTATGAACTAAACTAAACAAATATTAACTAACAAGATTAAAGGTCATTAACATTTGAAAATATACCGTAACGTAGTTCGCAAAGATCCGTAAACTTCAGAGCGTCTAACTTTATTTTGTACTCCGATGATACTAACATAGAATTATATGAATAAGTAGGCAGCTAATGTTTAGCTAAATAAAAACTATTTTGCGCTTTCTAGCCGCCTTGACTGTTTCTAAAAACGCTGAGATGTTTTTCTCAATAAATACTCGTATACCTACGTCCATTAAGAGTAGGCGCACACCGCTGATTTTTCGTCGGCCGATAGTTTAGTCGGGCAGTTGATCAGTATGGGCATATATCGATGGCTCCTACGTATAAGGGCGAAACTGCCGATTACGCCTTTTTCCAATTATTTAAGCAATGATTTCACTTTGCTCTAATCTATAACATCAGTAAGAAAAAAAAATTTTTTTTCCATTAGATACAAAATAAAATTTTAGGCAAATAGGCGTATGTGCAAAACTACGCCACGTATAAAGCCCAATCATACGATTCGTCAATCTATACGAGTAGTTGGTTACATAAACATATATTTTTTATAATCCAAATCTTAAATAAAGCCATGAAAATATTTAGCAAATTTTTTTATTTATAAATTATGACACATTATATAGTTATTTAATTTTTAGCGTTAAGAGTCGCATCTCAAACTAATTTGAAAATTATAAATAACTTGAAAAAATCGAACTGCCTAAGGCATCGTGGGTTCAATTCCCGCCTTAGGCAATTCGATTTTTTCAAGTTATTTATATTTTTTAAAAATATGACACATTATGTTAAAAGACCTAACTAAATCTCGAGCACAGTATATGGGCGTATTTGCGTTAAAACGTAAAACGGTACATTAAACGACTTTTTCTAACTGATTTATTATTGATATAGCACATGATAACAATTAAAATAATTACATGCATAAATAAAGAGAGTAATCGCTTAAAATATTATATTTACGTTGTCATTTAAGTCTCTTTACGTTGAACAATATACATGAAATTATAGAAATATGCCGACGTAAAAGGGCAATGCGTAAAATCTCAAAATATATAAGAAAAATATAAAAATTGATAACAGCAGTAGCAAAAGCATTACATGTTAAGGCTAAATATGAAATTTCATTAAATTCGTTTTAGTAGGTCAGAAGATGTGACCCAAAAATATGGTCCTGGCCACTAAAATGGCTCTCCTGTAAAATTTACTTTTTTCACTTACGCCAGTATACGTAGGAGCCATCGATATGGGAGTGCGCACACTACGCCGATTCTATTTGGCCGATTCTTCATACAATTTAAAATCGGGCACAACTATCGGCCAACTAAAAATCAACGATGTGCGCCTACTCTAAGAACTACACGATGGTGTGATTAACGCCACTCCCAAAATGTCATTGCTGTATTAATTTAACAGCTGCACCTAAGTAACCATCTATCACGCTTTCTTAACTTACCTGATAGAGTTTATTATGTGCCGATGTAAGACACCGCCGAGTGTTTATCTGGCACGGTTGCCGCTGGCATTTCCTTAATTGCTTTTAACTTTCAACTCCAACCTTATAACATCATAGCTCGGGGTCAAAAAAGTCTCCAATGTTATATGTAGATCTCTTACATGTTAAGGTGTGTGTTCAATTGAAGCACACTGGTTCTGCTACTTCTTTCGCGTAACTAAACTTTAAAGTAAGGCGACGAAGTAGGTAGTTACTATCTACAGAGAAAATGCCATGAATAAAAACAAGGTCTTATTTCAAAGAGCACTACGCTATGTCAATATCTTCTTTTCCAAGGATCCTGCGCTCATTTATTTCTGTCGTGTCAATTGATTCAACATTCAACCAACCTACATTTACCCTAATTAGGAACAAATACCTAGGTACTTTTGACTTTGAACTAAGTCTTGTCACAACTAAGATTCGAACTCGGAACCTCCAAATCGAGAGAGTCTGACTCTGTTGACATTAGATTACGCAGATCTATCTTTGCTAGAAAACTCGATCTATAGATAGACGGATGATGAGTCAATCTATCTCTAATACACTCTCATCCTTAGGTACAATATGATCACCTACCTCCATACGAGGCAAAAAGTGTGTGTAGATAATGTATATTAAGCATGTTAGAATACTCGCATGGTCCACCAGTGTAGACACACCCTTATTCATCTCTAACGATTGCGTGCACGCAGCAACTAATGTTGCTTTCTAATACAAAAATTGCACCGCGTTGTGAAACTTATAAATATTTGCATTAATGTCAGTATTTCTTGCAATGCATGGTTTATGGGTAATTCAAGACGAAATAATTGCAATAAACTTAATAACTAAAGATTTACATACATTTTACTTACCTACAAGATTTGTAAGTTATGAAGGAATGCAAATTAAGCTACCTACCTAGACAAGTAATTAATTAATTACAATTTTTAAATTCCTACACAGTAACCCGATTAGAAGTATGTTTTACTTAACTTTAATGATAGGGTTTCTTAACATAAAGTTACTGTCTGTCGACATTAAAAGCGTAACTATTCCCTATAGGAAAATATTAGTCTTCATGCGCTGTTAACTAAACTGTCTAACTGACTCCTGCAAGAGCTGTGACTGCTGAATGAGGTTGTTAACGTTTAACTGATAAAAAAAACATACAAAATATTGTTTTCCTATTAGTGGGTGCCGGGACAGCAGGCTGCGTGCTTGCTGCTCGACTCTCCGAGGATCCCAGGGTATCAGTGCTGCTGGTGGAAGCCGGAGACCACATGGGCTACTTCACCAAGATACCCCTGACGCCGACGGCAGCGCAGCAGGGACCAAACGACTGGTCAGTCCGGACCACGCCGCAGAAGTATTCGTCTTTTGGGCTTTGGGGACAGGTAGGAATAGCAATGGAATAACTGAATCTATCGGCCATAATCTGTACGTTAGACTTTAAAAAAGAGTTTAGCTTTACTATTTATAACTAGATAAGATAAGAAGCGTTTATTTGCCAGAATACAGGTTATAAAGTTCTTACAAAAATTGCTAGGTTTAATAAAATCTTTACATAGCGAGGTATTGCACAGACTCTACCAGCGTCGTTCAGAACACAGATCAGGCTCTTAGGGCTCTTCAGGGTTCAATCGTAAAATACTAGGAAGTGGTAGTTAGTAAAAATAATAGTAGAACATACCTCCTAATAATGACTTCGTCCTTCAATCTAGATTTTAATTTCAGACACAAATCCTACCCCGAGGGAAAGGCCTGGGTGGTTCAGGCCAGATAAACTTCCTTCTTCACGGCTTTGGTTTCCCCGAGGAGTACCAACGGTGGGCTCGTCTGGGCTTCCGAGGATGGACGGCCGAAGACTTGAAGCCTTACTTCATCAAAGCGTTCGGGACTGTACAGAGCGAGTTTGATTCAAATCACTGCTCTGTTGACGGCGTCTGTCCAGGTGATAAGGTGCATTTTCTTTTGTGAATTATCATGTAGAGCTCTGCTCTTCATTTAGTCAAAAGCGAGGCCAATAAGGCCAAAGAAGTGGCAAATGAATGATTTTATTAAAAGACAAACAGAAACTGACATCTTTAAACTGTGTTTGAACCAATAAATTATTGGTTTCTTTATTTTACACACATTCATGCGAGTAGGTTACCTCGGATTCTGTAATTTAACAATAATTATGCTTGCTTACACAGGAGTTACTCTCATGTATGCTCATATGGTCGTCCATATCCTTTTTTTTAATTATTTTTTTATCATTTCTTCCCTAATGCAGGCACCAATGAAACTCAAGATGCTCGATGACTCAGATGAACTACTGACCACGTACAAGCAAGCCTCAACATCTCTAAAAGACAAGTACACAGTATTCAGGAAGCCTGTTGCAACTGTGAGAGATGGGATTCGACACATGAGTTGG